GTGAGGAATGAGTGAAGAAAACAAGATAGAGTCAATATAGCTAAGCTGACTGAAAATGGAGTCTGCATAGTCAAGCTAACACAACTGGTTCAGACCAGAGTGGGCTGAAACATGAGGAATCAATTGTATTTTACTTTACCCTGAAGACTTAAACTTTTGAACTTTTCAGTTGTGCATCAATGCCTCTGTGTGTGTGTGTGTGTGTGTATTTTCTCAGATATTTTTTTTTTTTTTTTTTAGCTGAGCCATCCTGCTACCTGTTGGCAGCTCAGCGGCTGCTCAGCTCGGGCTGGACTCGAACTGCTGTTGCTCAGAGCTCAAACTCTTGAGCGAGCTCTTAACCAACTGAGCCACTCGGCCGGCTGTGTGTGTATTTTCTATATACAACCCTCTGAAGAACTTATGAAAGAACATTCACATATCCAGATGGCCTGACATCCATTATCCAGACCACTGGTCATCTAGAGCAGGGGTTGGCAAACTGCGTCTCGTGAGCCACATGCGGCTCTTTGGGTATGGTCTGTCTCAAAAGTTTGCTGACCCCTGCAAGAGCCAATCCTGTCCCTCACAACAATTTCGAAATTATCCAAGAGCCATAAACATATTTTTACAAATAAGGAAAATTTAAAGTAACATTATAAGTGAAATTATGACAGTTTTATTTTCATTCTCAGTTTTACTTCAGAGCCACATGTGCGTACCCAAAGAGCCACATGTGGCTCGAGAGCCGCAGTTTGCCGACCCCTGGCGGCTCTTTTGTCTCAAAAGTTTGCCGACCTCTTATCTAGAGGTTTACCATCTTGGACCAATCCAAAGGCTAAGAATACAGAACTGATTCTTCTCAAGAAAGTGCTTTAACTATAAAAACTCAATTTTTCTTTCTCCTTCGGAACATCCTGGGTATTGCCTAGTTGTGTCTCTGGTTTGTAAATCCTAAGATGCTTGGCCTCCTGATTCATTTACACTTGGCAAACAGGTGGATGGCCTGGTAGGGCTGAGTCCTTGGACCTACTACCTTGTTGCCAGGAAACAGGGATACAGAAAAGCCCCAATTCATGGGGCAGGCCTACTTGTCGGCACTGCTGAAAATGGTGGACATAGGATTTTTGGTCTCTCTGATTCCAAAGCCAGCTCTTCCAGTTACTTCTCTTATGCTTCTTCTGGCTTGACCTCATCCATGCTGTGTAAGAATTGGGGTCACTGCCTGAGGTGTACTGAGCTAGGAGAGACTTAGGAAGGCAGCCCCAAATTGGACTGAGTTAGAGCAGCCTGCAGGCAGGGCCAGGATCTGTGACAGGTCAGGAATTGGGACACACCAGGGCATGGCCACTGTGGCCAAGGTAAAAACTGGACCATCAGGAGAAGTCGGAGTGGCCTCACCCAAGGCGGAGGCAGCAGCTGGAGCTGCTCACAGAGAGACTTGTTTTGGATGGAGGTGAGCCTCTGAGTTTGTTTTTTGGTGAACTGCCTAACCCAAGAAATGTTCCAGTCATGTCTTAAAAGGCTTAGCCCCTCCAGAGAGGGTCTGGTTTTCCTGAGTCAGTGATTTTTGTCTCCTTTGGTCTCAGAACCCTGCCAGTTTGTCTCCAAAAGTATGTTTTGCCCTTAGGGTGGATGGGGGCTCGAGGTACTCTGGACCGAGACCGAGTCCTCTTAGCCTCTGAGTGAGTAATTTTCCAGCTCTCTCCCCAAGCTGGGCCCCAGGTGGGCGTCTGACCTGAGCCCGACACTAACTAACTAAATCTATCTAGTCGCCAGAGTGTCTGCACAGAACAGGTATCCATGACAGGCCTTATCTTGGGGTGGCTTGGCTGCCTCCCAGGCTGGGGTGGCTGTGTGGGAAGTCCCATCCCAGTAGTAAGAAAAGCATCTTATCCTCACCCCAGCGTCTCCTAGGGACTCTGCTTAGTGCTTTTAAAACATGCTTACAATGACGTGTTGCACACGTGCTCACCTCTCCTCGGTATGTCCATGCAGAACATGTGGCCAAAAGCTCAATAAACGTGTAGCTCAATAACACATTATGTTTGATGTAGAGCAATTGGATAGCAGTTTCAAGTGCAAATTATGGGGCCAGTTTCTTCGCTTTGCTTTTCCCAGGACTTACCTAACTTTTCCCCACAAAATCCCACAGATTTAAATTTATGCAATCTTCAGAACAACCTAATAGTCATCAAACGTAAGATTGAGGGTGTTTTCTGGACCCCAAATACGATCTTTGGCTATGTATCAAGGCCAGTCTGGGAGGTATAACTGGGAGGCAGACATATTTAAGTTTCGGTTAGTATTTAAAAATGAAAGAACACGTTGGAAAGGAGGCTGCCCATAAAAACATCCAGGGCATTTGCTGGCTATCCTGGAAGACACTTCAGTCCAACTGTCCTCCGTATGTGTGTATCTGACAGAACCAGACTCTGGGACAACAGAAGAGGGTGGGTCAATGACATTCCTTCTTGCCTCGGTGATCCCATTTCTTTCTTCTTCCTGTTCATAAGTTCCAGTGGGGGAGGTTTGGGCGTGGCCATGGGTGGTCTAAATGTTGAAGGGCCAGGAAGAAGGCCAGGGTGTGTGAAGCACCTAGACAAATAATAATTAATAATTAATAATTAAAAGAACAAGCACAGCAAGTAAGATTTACCAACTGCATACTCTGTGCCATCCTGTGCTCTGTGCTTCAATGTAGTACCTCATTTATTTATTCATTCTTCATTCAATTGTTCAATAGTTATTAACGTGTCAAGCAACATTCTAGGTGCCAAGGATACAGCAGCGAATGAAACGAAGTCCTTGCTCTCATGAAGCTTACATTCCATTGAAGAAACAGACAAGAAATAAATACACATATAATGCAAAGTAGACAAGTGCAAAGAAGAAAAATAAATCTGAACATGGATAGAGGGGAACAGTGGGGGGCCTGGAGGTCATTTTCTTGAGTAGGTATCTGTGTGCTTTCTAGGCAGAGGGAGCAGCAGTGTCCTGAGCCTGGGACAGGCTTGAAACGTTGAAGGAAGGAATCAGAAGGCAGGCCGTTGGGGATGAGGTCCACAGGGTGCCTGGGGGATTCGAGTGGAATGGGGAAGCCATTGGAGATGATTGCACAGGGACATGCTTTGACACAGGTTTTAAAGGAACTGTTCTGCTTGCTTAGTGGAGAAAGGCTGGTTGAGGGTAAAGGTGGGAACAGGGAGGCCAGTTAGGAGGCTACTGTATTTGTCTAGGAGGGAGCTGGTGATGGCTTAAAGCCATGAGCTTAAAATTGGAGGAAGTGAGAACTGGTGCGTGCTGGAAATAGTCTGAAGTTAGGATGGTAGTATTTGCAGATGGATTTGGATGTGCGGTGGGAACAAGAGAGAAGGTATATTGTGACTTGAGTCCAAAGTAGAGGTACCCTTTACTGACATCAGCAACACAGGAAGAGGAGCTGATCTGGAAGTGAAAATGAACAGTTTGGTGTGCCAACCTTGTGACGCTTGTCCCACATCAGGTGGAGATATCAGAGAGAAGGTTGAGTGGGAAACTTGTCTGGAGCTCCGAGGAGAAGCTGCAGGTTTAGATTTGGGTGACATCAGCAAAAAGGAGCGTGGGGTGGCCTGGATGAGGCCATCAAGGGAGTGAGAAGATAAGAGGTCCAAGGTATTCCAACATTCACGTGTAGGAAAGGGACAGAGGCTCAGGGGAGTCCAGAGAAGTGGGCGGAAAACCAGGAGAGTGTGCTTATTTCTACATTAAATCAAGAAAGTGACCACCTATGTCAAGGAATATGAAGACAGAATCGACCACAGGGTTTAACAACAGGTATTTCATTCATCTCAAAACCTTAGGCAAGGGGAACTATTATTATCCACACTTTTAAAATGAGGAAACCGAGACTCAGAGAGGCTTAATAACTTGGCTGTGCTCACAACAGTCAGTGATAGAGTTGGGGGCCCCCCCCAGGCTACGCCCAGAGCTTCCCAGCTCCCTGCCTGGGGCTACCCTGGGGACACACCCTTCCCCTTCCTATTTCCAGTTTGTGAGTTCTGGGCTTTTTTTTTTTTTTTTTTTTAGCTGAGCCATCCTGCTACCTGTTGGCAGCTTAGCAGCAGCTCAGCTCGGGCCAGGCATTGAACTGCTGTTGCTCGGAGCTCAAACTCTTGAGCGAGCTCTTAACCAACTGAGCCACTCGGCCAGCCCTAGTTCTGGGCTTTTTACCTCACCTCCCTCCCAGTTTAGGTAACAGCAACAATGCTCCAGGGAAGAAGCCATCTCGGCCCCATTTGGAGGGTGACAAATCGTTGCAAAATCTTCTGAGAGAATGATTCAGAATGAGGACAGAGGAGGGTAATATAGTACATTTAAGAGAATCCTGCCTTATCACTTCTCTTTGGTTTCAGCTCATGATTGCTTTAAAATATTCTTACACGTATTAGCATGAGAGAAAGGGGGGTGGGCAAAGAGAAAAGGCTCAAAATAAAAAGTGTTTATACCAAAAAAACATGTAGTGGAGGATTTGCCGGCTTTTCTGAGAGAATGCAGGCTACAAAACAGATTTATGGGTGAAATCTAAGCTCTTTTGGGTTTGTTCATTTTCTTTTCGCCCCTTTTATGCTTAATGTCTGTTAAGAAAAAGCTAATCAGGACACTGTAGGAATAACGTAAGCAACTCTCATCTCCAAAGAATGTTATCTTTTGACAGCAAAATAGTTTGCACAAAAAGGCAGTTTTTGTTTTTTGAGGAAAAAAAGTAGGTAATACACTGCCCTGCTTTACATACATTATTTTTTGATGGTATATATATTTTTAATTAGTACTGCTTTGAACATACATTTTTAAATCTAGCTTCCCCAATCCAAAACTGAGTGGCTCTAGAGTAGGTAAGTTTTACAGGCTCTAGGAGCCAAAACACTTTTTTAGATAATAATTATGAAATGAAAGACTCTTAATTTCAGAGTTTCCTAGGGCTATCATAACAAATTGCCACAAATTCGGTGGCTTAAAAACATCAGGAATTTATCCTCTTGCAGTTCTAGAGGCCTGAAGTTCAAAATCAAGGTGTCGACAGAGCTGTGTTCCCTTTGATGGTGCTGGAGGATCTTTCGTTGCGCCTTCCAGCTTCTGGTGGCTTCAGACGTTCCCTGGTGAGTGGCAGCAAAAATCTAATTTTTATCTTTGTCTTCACATGGCTTCCATCCCAGTCTCTGCCTTTCTCTGATAAGGAGTCTGTGGTTGGATTTAGGGCCCATGTTCAAACCAGGAGGATCTCATGATGGTTGGTTGGTCATGCCCCAGGCATATAACTTTTTTAGTAAAAGGTTTATCTTTGCCTTAAGCAAGCCCTGTCTATTGCTTCTGTGCATTTAGTTTAATGCATCTTTGAAATGCCTCTTTTTCAGATCCCTGGGAAGTATCACTACCCTCAAGAGAGCACATGATCTTGTTAACCATCCTGTAATCTAATCCCTGCCTGCTTTTCTCTCACCTTCATGTAATCTTCCTTATGTTCCCACCTGAATTCCAAATGCATAAAAGAAACTGAAAACTGTCATTCTCTGGAGCATTTGAGATCTTGCTTCCTGGAAATTTGGCTCAAATGAACTCTTATAAAAATTCTCTGTAGAGCTGGGTGTTTTTCTTGTAACCGTCCAAAAACTGCACTTCTTTAAAATGACTTTTTCTCTTCTCTTTCTCCTTCATTCAAACTGGCCTTGTCTAGTCTAATAGCACTGTGACTCACTTGTTCTTTTTCTTTCCTTATCCTTCCACCTTTGCACATACTGCACGACCACTCCCTTAATCATTAAACCTTTAGGACATCTGATTCTGGTCACATCAAACAGTTAGGAGCAAAGCCGCAGGTCTCTTGACTACAGAAGCAGACTTTCAGCAAACTAAAGATAACACCTTGACCTCAGTTGTGCTTCAGCTAAAGACTCATGAATGACCCTACCAGCCACATCCCTTTGAAACCAGGAAGAACAATGCCATGCCGCAAGTGACATCAGGACCTAATGCAGTGATCATCTAATCACTTCCTACCTTAGCTCCCACCAAGCAGTGGAACCCAGGACCCCAACTACCTTAGCTCCCGTGACTAATGTTCTTTCCCTGTGTCACCTATCCTCTAAAGGCCACCAGAAAGCCAGGTCTTTGAGCTCTAGCTCACCTGTGTCTCTGGGCTTGGTGCCATTTCCTTAAATAAACCCTTACTTTCTTTGCTGCAACCCCTGTTTCTGTCTTGTTTGGCTTTGATGCGCACAGGCAAATGAACCCCTTTAGTTTGGTAACATGACCTGGACAAAACCAAGACTCTTTGGTAATCTTAATTGAGTCCTCCTAAGAACTCAGTGAATTTTTGCTCTCTCACTATTTTGTAGATCCAGCAACAGAATCTTAGAAAGGTTAAGTGAGTACCTAACGTTGCCCATTTGTCAAGTTGGTGCAGCTGAGTCTTGGGTGAGCTGCGTCTGGCTCTTCCGCCCACGCTCTTCCTAATCACTTTGGAATGACTGAATGAATAAACGCACCCACAGTGACCTTTGTTTACCATGACCTGCAAAGAGTAGGAGGCTAATCATAGCTTTGGCCTGAAGAGATGCAGAGTTTGACACCCAAAAATATGCCTCTTTGGGAATATTAATTATTTTAGGCTGGTTAATTTTAAGAAATAGCAGACGTGGGAGAAGCTCTGAAAACCAAGTAGAAGTTTTCCTTGGTAAGAGGACATTTACGTTTGAAAAGGCAATCTCCATTTGTGGGGCTGTTTTCCTGCTCTGTACTAGGAAGAGGAAGATATCTAAATCCCAAGCAACTGCCATCAGTGGACAAAGCAGAGCCTAAATCTCATACCAATCTTACCCTTGTTTACTGCTTTTCCTGGTAACCTCTCATAACTGACTCTCTACCCCCAGCCTCTTCTTTTGTTTTTAGCTGAAGGTGGTATATAAGGTGATGGTTTTCTCCATTTTGGAGAGTTAATCCGTTTTCCTGGGTTTCTCCCGTGTACATAGAAGGTATACCTGTTATTAAATTTTAATTTGTTTTTTTCTGCTAATCTGTCTCATGTTGACTTGGTTATTAAGCCAGCCAGAAGAACCTAGAAGGGTAGAGGAAAATATTCCCTTTCTGACAGGTTGAACGTGCTGACACCCTGAGCAATGGTTCCCAATTGCTGGCCCATGGGTTAGCGTCAGCTCAGGACCCGAGATTTACCAGTTTTTGATATAATGAAACTATGAACATAACGAATTATTCAATTAAAAAAACCACCTTCATGATGATATCATGCCCATACTTTTCTGATGTTTGTGAGAAAATGGCAATAATAATTGGTAGTTATTTTTTTTAACATTCTTACTTGGCAAAATAGGCTGACCATACTGAGTTGGGCTCCGACATTTGTGTGTTTGTTTAGACTTCTGTGAGATCCCAATGCCTGGAAATGACTGTTCCAGAGACAGTTAAGAAGCAATCGACAGCACAGCCCCCTATTTGAGGGCAAATATGCAGGCGTCTTTAGTGGATCATTTTGAGATTGCAATAAACATTCCTGCTTGTAAATATCCTCTTTCCCACCGTGCCCAGTGGGCTCTGAGCTGCCCTTGATAAGACCCCAAGTACATGAAAGCAACACTTAAATTGAGCCCCCAAAAATCTTACTTTGAGACTTCAAAAAAAGAACGGGAAGGTCAGATTTTGCATGTTATTCTACCTCAAAGCAAAAACCCAAATCAAAATAAATATAGCAAACAAAACTCCCGTGATGTCATAAAAATGGGCCAGTTTCTACATGGAAGTGTCAGACGAGCTGACGGAATTCTTATACTTTCTTTGATTCAGGAAGAATCAAGTCATGTGGAATCAGTTTCTCGCTGCGTTCATATCATTCCTGGGGATTAGAATGATTGACAGGATAAATATAGGGAATTACAATCCTGTCCCTACCCACATTTCATAATGCTCTGCCCTATCTAATAGAATGGATGTGGTGCCCACAACCACAAAAAGAACATCCTTGTGTAAAGCAGTCGATCCCAAAATAGGAGACACAGTGAGGCATGTACCCTGACTCCAGAAAGGGCTGCTGCGTGGCAGACCTTGTTTGCATTGTCCCCTCAGTGAGCCATGAATCACTGTACTCAATAAACTCCTGACATACTTTCCAGGACAGCAAAATTCACCTTCCTGATAGTAAAACTACCACTCATTGCTAAGTAGCTCAAAAGTTAAAAAGGCACCTTCGTGAGGTAACAAGTATTAGAGCAACATCAGAAAGATCATATGTGATTAGAACAATTAGAACTAATCTTGCTGTGTAATGGATTTATTATGTCTGTTGTATAATTGCTTTTTTCAGAACCAGATAATGTTGAAATTAGCAGTGGTCAAGAAGCAACTCTGATGGTATTTTCACATCTGTAAATTTTTCAACAATTATAAGGAGACAAGGACTTCTGGCTGGTGAATCAGAGAATGGTACAGGAATATCTCTTCACTGGCAGAGATTTCATCCCAACATTGAGCCTAAATTTGTATTATATCTTTATTGATTTGTGGGTGAGGGTGAGGTTAAAGTATTTGTAGGTTTTTAACATGGTGGATCTTCACTGAAAACCCAAGCAAATACCCTGAGAGTCTGTCTCCCAGGAAAGTGCTGGGATTTGGTAGTGTGATGACAGGTAAGATGGAGCCTCTGTTCTCAGGGCTTTTATCTGGACAGGGTATGAGATATGTATGTGCATAACTCTATTGGAAAGTAGAAAATGCTGAAGTGCTGACGGGAGATACAGAGGAGGTGAAAAGGCAGAGAGTTCTTCTGCTGGGGCATGGAGGGCCGCTTCATAGAAAGGTGGCGTTCGCATTGAGTCTTCAGGATGGGGTCTAGAAGAGGACCTAAAAACATTTGCTATCTTGGGAATTAAGATCAGGGTGTATATGCATTCCTGAAAGATGAAACAGCATGGGTGTGAGAGCACAGAGCTTTTTCCATGGTGGTAACCTGGGGCAGGTGGGACGTAGGGTTCCTTGTGATGAGCAGTGGAGAGAGGCTGGAAGGCAAGATAGGCCTGAGTTGTGAGAGCTTTGAAAACCAGACCGAAGTGTTTGACTTTTATTCTGTATAGGATTATTGCAGACAACACTGCTGTTTGCCAACTCAGCAGCTATTACTTACTCCATTTTCTCTTTGCTAACAGAGCCACAGTGACCATAAACTTTGCATTTTAAAGACAATAACCGTTTACAAAATAGGTTTGTAGGTGTTTGGCCAGACGAATGGGGTTTGAGCTGATCAGTCCTTTCTATGGATTTCCCTGGAGAGATGGTGGGGAGGAGGGGACGCGGGGAGATTTGAGACAGCCAAAGAGACAATTTGAAGGCTGTGAAGCACAGTGGCAATGGGGCACACCTAAGAACTTGCTAGAATGAAACAATGTACAAAAGTCACTCCACAAAGTACTGAAAAGGCACACTTGAAAGTAATATAATATTGTATATCAACTGTAATTGAAAAAAATTTTAAATTATTTTAAAAATACTGGGAAGACAATAACTTCCTAACTACTCTGAAATAAAAACACTTTTAACTTGATTCATTCGAATGGGCAGCTTAATTCCATCACAGAACTCTAAGATCTGTACTAACCAGTGGCCAGCCTGAGGCTTTGACCTGTGCTGCTGGTATGTATTGCCACCCCCTCCCTGTCCCCCAACAGTGTCAGCAATTATATTAAACATAGATGGACTATAGTGGATTAATTTTGTCCCCCCAAAAGATATGTTCCAGTGCTAACCTCTGGTACCTGAAAATATGATCTTATTGGGAAACAGGGTCTTTGTAGATGTAATCAAGTTAAGATGAGGTCTAGGAGAGTAGATCCTAAGATTTCTCATCAACAGGAAAAATCATTTTCTTTCTGTTTGTATTTCTATGAGATGGATGTTAGCTAAACTTATTGGGGTAATCATACAACATATGTTAAGTCAAATCATTAGGCTACCTTAAACATACACAGTGCTGTATATATCAATTATATCTCAATAAAACGGAACAGAAAACAGTAAGGTCTCACTGACTTAGGTGGGCCTTTACTCCAATGGCTGCTGTCATTAGTAGAAAGGAATTTGGATGCAGAGACACAGG